GTCGCGAGTCGGCCATTGTCAACTTTGCTTTAGCGTGTTGAAATTGATATTTGATATGCATTTCCATTTGTAACAAGAGCTTACTTATCCAATGACTGGGGAGAATTCATATTATTTTGTATAATTTAATTTTGCCAATCCAATACCACAGTTACCTTCACGTTTAGTTTCACCGAGCAAGATACACCAGCGGTTTCGTACACAATTTATAGTTTATATTTGATTTTGAAACATTTGCATAACGGAATAATTAATATTCGTAAAAACACACTTTAGATACATCTTTTTTAGATATAAAGTTTCTTTTTTGACCGTATTTCTTGCTTTGATGTGAATATATATAAAGCGAGTTAAAAACAATTAGAATTTTGACACACCAGCTGGGTGAAGGCTATTTCAGATACGGTAGAGCACCTAGTCCTAGTCCCCAGGCCTTTACCAGCGCGACCGCGAAATTCAATATGGCGCCAAGCTAAGGAGTGGAGTTTAAATGGAGTTTATATTCTATAATTTCTATTGTTGTTTTTTGATCTTTTTATTCTTTTTGGTTGGTAGAACTTATATTCTGAAATGCCAGGTATCTTATTCTTTATCTGAGTAATCTGAAAAAAGATTTTATGACAGAATTTTTCTCAAACATAGTTTAAATTAATATCTATATGTTTCAGTGAATTATGCTTTAAAAGTAAAAAATAGATTGGCCAAGATAAGAAATTTTTGACACTTTCAACTTCAATTTTGTAAAATTGTAATAACAGCCTAGTTTATATTCCATAATCCACAGAGCTTGAAAATCCATGCGGAATGTACAAATTATTGACTTTTCGAGTGAAGTTCTGTTTGAATTTTTCAGATACTAAGTTATATCTTGTTATCGTCTCTATCTAGCCTGGCATTGTCAGACCGTTCAAGATTGCACTGTTTAATTAGCACCAACACTAACAGTCATGGTGCCAGGGATGGATCCAGCATGATCTGGTAGGAGGGGGGGGGAGTTGATCTGCCAGCTCTAATGCCGAGTTATGTTGGTCATGCATGCCACCCGCCCATCAACTTACAGGTCAAGTCTTGCTTGACTACTGTATTTGAATTGTAATTGTTGTTCACAGTTCGCTTCTTATCATGTTATCGATATCACTCAAATTACTGTATCTCATTTTGTCTCTATAATATTTTTTTGTTTTATCATGAAAAATAGCACCCCCCTGGCCAGGGCTAGGGAGGTGCACCCCCCCCAGTAAATCCATCCCAAAAAACAGTTGGGTTTTATAGGGGGAGGGGGGTTGACAGAGGTACACACCCTTGGCCAACAGGGGAGTGTAAAAATCGAAAGGGGGGGGTGCACTTCAAATTGAATTTACCATACATCTGAGCATTTGAGATATTGTATATAATTAGTATTACAAATATATTGCTGCCTTGTAACCTTAGATATTTCATGTGGTATGTGTAATTGGGCGCTAAGTATCTTACTCGTCAAGCAATGCTGGGTTCAGAGTCCTCACCTGTTCCCCTAGCAATCAACAATATACAATTTTAATGCCAAATTGTGTGCCAACATGCAAAATGGACTCTGCACAGGTTGTTCACTACCTTTTCATTTCATACTGGGTGAACATTATGTGAGGATAGCAAAAAAAACATATTCACAACTAATGTGTCCTCTTTTACTACTTTTGTAATTGTCTTGTTCCATGACCTAAATAAGCTAACACACTTAGTAGCTCATGCTTATCTTTCAACCGGCACATTAGCAATGGCCGGCCCATTTTTCTTTATAGTGGTGTCAGGTGTGCAAGTTATTCAATAGGGTACTAACCTTGTATACAGGGCATTATAGAATTAAAAAAAAATCTGGGCAGGATGTTACAAGGCCATCGGAAGTAAATCAATATTGGGGAGACTCAAGAATATATCTGAATAAATTTTAATTGCTTTTGCACTTTTCTAGTTATTTTGTGTGTTTTGCTTATACAAATGGAAATTTTAGGGGGGGGGGGGCTCAAGCCCCTCACTTTTGACAGCCTTGTGTTACATGTGACATTGCCAGCTGCCATTAATAGTTTGCAGAATTGTGAAAAATAAATCAATGCTGTAGATTGCAAGTGGTAATCCACTTTCGCCATTGGCATTGTAGACATAATACACATAAAATTCCACAAGACCAATTAACTTGGTAATCCTGAGTATTCCATACTCATTGGGAAATCAGTCAGATGCAATTGTACCCACCCTCTGGTCAACCTTTGCCACTAGACGTTTCAGCACCTTTTCCCTGCATATCATGGTTTATGAACTCAACATTTTATGATTGAATTAGCTCTCCTACTATGATATTTTATGCTCAAGTAAATAGAAAGTAGTACAGCAAGCCGGCTGGAATAATGGTCAGATGTTCACTCCTCAGTGGCATAACTCCTAAGGGCTGTGCCCGGCAAGAGCCAGGGGCCCAGGGGGTGTGCGTTGTCAAGGAAGGTCCCTGGGCTAACCTTTATGCAGTGTTTGGAAATTTTAATTCAAATAGTAAATTAAATTAATAATTAATTAAATTAATAATAATTATTATAAATAAATTAATACTAAGTAATAATAATAATTAATTAATATGATTTAATTAATTAATATTTTTATAAATTTTTTTAGCCTTTAAGCTTTTAAAAAAGCTCTCCCTGTTAACACTCTGAACAGTAGGTCAAGGCAGGGCTGGAGATACGGGAGGTGTGACACCCCCCAGAAATTTTATTCAGTCGGCAGGACTGCTATTTGGTTTAAATATTTCCGCGCAAAGGGCAAGATATTCGGGTTTTTTGGTAAATTTCCGAATTTTGGTATGAAAAATAGAGGTAAAGTCACTGGAAAGCATTTGCAACATACTCGTCCGGAAATTTTTTTTCCCTAAAAAGTTGTCGACGGGGGGAGGGGGAGGCTGTTGGTCTCCGAAAAAAAATTTCTCGTTTTGGCTCCCGTCAACCTCTCGGCGGCCCTGTTCGTCAGTCGTTTGAAATGACCTTACACCCCCCTGAAGTATCCCTGAGGACGGCCCTGGGTCAAGGGGGCCCTTCACGGGGAGCACTGAGACTTCATCCTACCCATAATTAAGATTCTGGGAAATGAGTACCCCATATGCCCCTAGTGTCTAATAGAAT